ATCGTATTTTCACGTTCTTAGTACTGTTGCTGTTCACGGGCGACGGTGACCAGCTACCATCAGTCGGCTTCCGATGCGAAATCCTCGAAGCTAATGATTGAAACGTCAATTTTCAACAATAGAAAGCTTTAGCCGTTACGAAGATTAGAGAAACATTTTTCACTATAGAACTTGAAAGCCGTATTTAAGCTTCAAGCTTTGACGGTTTTGAAAAGGCTTTTGACTGGTCTGTTAGAAGTAGATAACGCTATTGTTCGGCTTAGGCCGTACAGACAGTCACTATTATAGTTTATTTAGCTGTGACCTTTGAAAACATTTATTTTATATTTATACTAGCTGTACCCGTCCGCTTCGCTGGGCATTTAAAATTAACATTATTATTTCTCACCCCCACAAAGATTCTCATCATTAACGCCCCCGCCCCCGGTGTAGGGAGTCCAACACTCATATAAATATTAGCCGTATTCTCTACATGGATACCAAGTCAATCGGATGCATGGTTCAGTAGTTATAACGGAACATCCGTAAAAACCACTGTAGATTTAATTAGATAGGGATAGAATATTAGTATATAGATTACAATTTATTATTATTATTATTAGTGAGAAAGCTCATTGTACTTTTTAACCGACTTAAAAGAAGGAGTATGTTATGAATACGACTATTTTTTTATAAGTGTTACCTTAAAAAAAAACCTAGTGCAAGTGTTAGCAACGTCCTCAGGTTAGAGCCCCGTGAGCTCACCTATTCGTTTGGTTACGCCGGCAGAACCCCAGCTTAGGTAGGAAAAAAAGGCAAAGTGAGAATCTGAACTTAAATCTGCAATTTCATCCACTCGGAGAAGATCTTCCCTTCTGCGTAACCCCAAAACGATATAAGTGTTGTTACGCCGGCAAGAGTAACGCCATCTATCGCCGAATAGTCGAACGAATATTGAAGGATCTAGTATCATCTAGAACGCTCGAGAAGTACAACGCCATCTATTGTCAGGTAGCGGAAACAAGACTAGAAATGTGTGGAATATTCTCGATAATTCTACGGATGCGGTATCGACTATAAAAACGTTGCAGGTATGGCATACAGTCAGTCAGTAATCGGAACTACTCGAAGCGAAACAGCGAACGGATCACCTGAAGCGAAACGGAAGAAGCGAATTGTGTGTTTTAAGTGTTGAATACAGTTTTTTAGTTGTACTTTGGTTTTCTTTTTCCCCACCTTATCCCACTAGGTGGGGTCGGCACAGCTAATTTTTCTCTTCCATTCTCTTCTATCAGCCGTCATCTCAACACTCACTCCTCTCTCTCTCATATCGTCATTCACACACTCCATCCATGTCTTCTTCGGTCGACCTCGTCCCCCTCTACCTTGCACTGTCATTTCCATACATCTCCTAGTCACCTGCATCTTCTCTCTACGCGTCACATGTCCATACCACGCTAACCGTCCGCTCCTTAATTTTAGTTGTACTTTGGTCGAATTTTATTTATCCCGAACCCCAGTGCGTAACAGTATCACCATTGAAATGAGTCGTCTATTATCAAAGGTGGCAATCTGTGCATTTGGACAATTTTTTTTTATTGATATGTCAATACAGATTGATTTAAATATAATCGTCTCCTTCAAAGAATACGGTTCAAAACCTGCATTAAATAAAGGTTAATACTTAACCTGTTATTTATCTAAGTTGTCGTTCAGAAGAGTTTTGTGACTGCCAACGGAATACAAAGTCAATAATTCGTTTTTCTGATTTACCAATAATTGTCCAAAAGTCACATTGTCGGCTTTGATAATAGTCGACTCAAATACTCCAAAATGAAATGAAAGGCTTGCTTTAGTGTCAAAAGTTCAAGGTGATATTCGAAGCGAGGTCGGCCATTACCCTCGGAGCTGAACCAATGAGAGCGCGATTTCGAATATAACGACCAATCGGAGGCCGGGGGAGGCGACGCGTTATTGGCTGATATGTTGGAACAACAAAAGTGACAGATTCATTATTATGAAAAATTTTGTTTATTTATTCTATACAATTGACGGAAATGTAATTATAGGCTGGGGGTTTTTTGTCGATAATATTTATGTTCACGGATACTCACGTTAGCTTGTTAGCAAGAGCACATGCGTTAATTCAATTATGTTTTATAGTTTATCAGTGATAAAAAACGGGTTTGTGAGTGAGTAATTTTTCTAATGAAATACGTACTCAACAAATGTTCACGATTTACTTCCACGGTGAAGGAATAATATCGTGTAATAAAAATCAAACCCGCAAAATTATAATTTGTGTAATCACTGGTGGTAGGACCTCTTGGGAGTCCGCACCACCGCCCCACATATTTCCGCCGTGAAGCAGTAATGCGTTTCGGTTCGAAGGGTGGGGTAGCCGTTGTAACTATACCGAGACTGTAGAACTCATATCTCGAGGTGGGTGGCGCATTTACGTTGTAGATGTCTATGGGCTCCAGTAACCACTTAACACCAGGTGGGCTGTGAGTTCGTCCACCCATATAAGCAATAAATAAAAAAAAACCATATATTAATACGTGATGCAAAAACTTTGTACCCCTTTTTACGAGGATATACCTATTATAGGTTCGCAATGTGGTTGTACTGTTTGTTACTCTTGTGTACGTTTTAAGTTATTAAAATAATAAAAAGTTACTGGTGGTAGGACCTCTTGTGAGTCCGCACAGGTAGGTACCACCACCCTGCCTATTTCCGCCGTGAAGCAGTAATGCGTTTCGGTTCGAAGGGTGGGGTAGCCGTTGTAACTATACTGAGACTGTAGAACTTATATCTCGAGGTGGGTGGCGAGGTGGCGCATTTACGTTGTAGATGTCTATGGGCTCCAGTAACCACTTAACACCAGGTGGGCTGTGAGCTCGTCCACCCAACTAAGCAATAAAAAAAACCGTTGCAGTTCAGAGCAACGTCATTTCAACTTACAATTCCTAGTAAATTAAATAGAAAAAGTGTTATATAAATAAATAAAAAATTATCAGAATATAATTATTGACCAAGAACCACAAGAATTTATCGTCAATTAAGAATGTGAAGTCGCTAGGGAGTCGAACCTTCGCAATACAATTGTAACACCGCACTGAATAATATATTAAGTTAGATCCCTAACGATATTGTTTCTATTGTTGTGTTTTTATTCCTTATCTCACGGCCCACCTACCTACCCGCGCGGACTCGCTAACGGTTCTACCACCTTAAGCTGCTAGTATTTAAAAATATACTAGTGATCGGTTGTCTGGTTTCCTATTCCACCAATTTCTGACGCGAAACAATCCCCATCGATTTGAAGGGAAGGTCAAGTAGATGTAATGTCTCAAGGTCGATGTCGGTTACGGTCCACGGACTCCGGTAAGTACTTAACATCAGGCGGGCTGTGAGCTCGTCTACCCATCTAAGCAATAAAAAAAAACTAAGGCGTTTGTCATTATAGGTAGACGTCTGATGGAAAGCAGTCACCATCGTTCATAGATATCAGCAATTCCAGTGGCAGATATAAGCCGATGTCCAATGTTGAGGATTCTCCTCGTTGCGTTTGAAGAAGAACATGTCATAGCGTTGTGCATGGACGCAGCTATTCCAGGTAGTATCAATAAACTATGCTTAGAGGCGGTAAAAAGGAGACGAAGGTTTCATTCCTAACAATTCCTCATGGCTTGTGTGGCGTATTGTGTGCACGCAATACCACCACCCTGTCTATTTCTGCCACTAAGCTATCACGAATTTCGGTTCGAAGGGTAGGACGCCCGTTATACTTAAGAGACTAAGATCTCATGTCCCAAGGTAGGTGGCGACATTAGCGTTGGGATATTTATTTCGATAACTACTATCTTCTCAGTGGCTCGCGATTCTGATCTGGTAGTACAATCAGCACTGCTCTTACTAGGGTCGATGTCAGCAATCTCTCAGGTTAAGCCGCTGGAATAACCTTTTGAGGCTACCAACGATAAGGTAGGGTAAAAAACATTAAATGTTTTTTTTTTTTTATTGCCTTTGTAGGCAGACGAGCACACGGCCCACCTGATGGTAAGTGGTCACCGTCGCTCATGGACGTCAGCAATGCCAGGGGCAGAGCCAAGCCGCTGCCTACCATAAAGTACTCTAAAAGTAAATGTGACGTTATCACGTCTATGCAATGGATTAAAATAGGCACAATTCTAAATGTCTGGTCGGTCTCGTGCTAAACACACAAAGAATCCATATACTGTAGGAAATTAGGTTCTATTTTTGGGCTGACCCGATCGATAGCTTTATGCGAGAATTAAATTAGCCTTGGGTATGTAATATGTAGTCTAATTTGTTATGGCGTACGTTAACTAAGCCAGCGTAGTTGTAGACTGATGAGTTCATACAGGGCCGGACTTAGCGGCGCAAGTGTCGCCCGGGGAATGGTGAAAAATGCCGCCTCATTAAAAATGTAATTAACAGAAAATAGCAGTACTAATACCCGTAGTAGATAAAGTGTCTTGATCTATCTAAAAGGGCTTAGTGAATCAAAAACTACCTTAATCGTTTGTGCATTAGGGTTGATTATGTTAAATTACATGTATGTATAATCGGGCACTGAATTAGAATAGAACGGCCTTTTTTATGTTTCTCTTAGTGGTGGGGTTCCCGGTTTGGGATTGGGCAGGCGCTGTTCCACTGGGAGTCGTAAAAGACAACTAAGAGACTTCTGGCTACCGTCTTAGGTTCACGATAGCTTTCACCAGGATGGGTTGACGTCAGGCTGGTGATAAAACTCATGATAAAAACATTATTGGTGGTAGGACCTCATGTGAGTCCGCACAGGTAGGTGCCACGACCCTACCTATTTCTGCCGTGAAGCATTAATGCGTTTCGGTTTGAAGGACGGTTAGATGTCTATGGGCTCTGGTAACCACTTTACACCAGGTGGACTGTGAGCTCGTCTACCCATCTAAGCAAGAAAAAAAGGTGAAATTACGGGGTACATCTAGTCGGCCGTGAAGGTAATAACGGCTTACCTTATCGACGGGCATGGAAGGGCACGCTCGGCACAGGTTCCAGAATGACCCGATCATCTGTGTTCCGCCTCGGGGGCTCCTCGCTCGCTGTTCACGCTGAAGACTTCACTGCTTGGCGCATCCGCTGCTGGGGGATTACAAGGAACATGTGAAGGTGCTCTGAGGAATTATTCGACATGATGTACCATCATCTCGTTTTTACCATTGCGCCGCCCGCCACCGGAGTAGATTTCATCCGTACTACCTGGAGCCACTACGGTCATCCACAGTGCGTTTCCATAGGTCTTTTATGCCACGTACCATCCGGCTTTGGAATGACCTCCCCTCCAAAGTGTTTCCCGAGCGCTGTGACATGTCCTTCTTCAAACGAGGCTTATGGAGAGTATTAAGCGGTAGGCAGCGGCTTGGCTCTGCCCCTGGCATTGCTGAAGTCCATGGGTGACGGTAACGATTCACCATCAGGTGGGTTGTGTGACTACACTATTACAGGGTATTTCTACGGGAATAATCTTAAAGAAAGTATGTATGGAAATAAACATTCACTAAATTATATCTAAATCGACGCAAATTATAATCGAATCAGGGTTCTAATAGCTTAGAAAAAATATTCTGCTGCAATAATAATTTGAACGAATTACCGACTTTCTAGACCAGTATTTCCTAACCTTTTTTGTGCCATGCCCCATTATAACATTTCTAAAATTTTTATGCCCCCCATACATAACTTTTAACATGAAAAAATCGATTTGTTCACTTAGGAAACATAAATGATAGGTTTTAGGAAGAAATCAATAGAGAGTTATTATCAAAACACAGTAAGTAATATTTACAGCAATTCATTTTTATAGAGATTTTCTACCTATATATTAATGTAGTGCGACTGCCCCTTTTAATTATCAAATTGCCCCCTTGTGGGGCGTGGGCCCCACTTTGGGAAGGAAACACTGCTCTAGGCTGTGGACGGAACTTTTACGCGCCAAAACCCTAATGTCAATTTTCTATCGTTTTCCTCTTGCCAATTTTTTCCCGATATTTCGGCCATCTTGTATTGGTCGTTTAGCGTTCGTTGACCTATCGTTTCAGCATTTTCATGTTTCTTGAATAAGTGAATAATAATCTTAAGAGAAGGTAGCTTTTAAAGAAGTCTTCTGCAAGTTCGATGACCTCGCATCAGTTCAATTGTTATCCATTGCGTGCCGCCATTAAAGTGAGCAAAATGTATTACAGTATTTTTTTTTCTTCGCATTGTATTTACGAGAATGTTTCCTATACATCCATTAAGTAGGTTATGTTTCAGTGATGGTAAAACATTTTATTTATTTATTTATTATTTCTATACAGTAAGCTATCTTAAGACATTCAACCGTATTTTTGAGAAAAACAATTTATTAGGCGGTGCATGCACAATGTCCATTGACATGTCCATATCAATTAATCTACAGTAGACCTAGTAGATCTTGAGGCACTCTTCTTCTGAGTCTTCTTGTAGTCATTTGGTTGTCCATTAAATGCTTAGCAAGGTTATTCGGATGGGCTTCCAATCTTACACAATAGGCTTTAGCTCGATGGATTACTTCATCTTTGAATTTACTTATGGCATGATCATAATGGATTTTTTCATTTGTAACATACCATGGTGCGTTCACTATCATCCTGGGCGCTTTTGATGGATAGCATATTTAATGATCTAATAAAATTCCATTACAGTTGAAACTGATTGGCTGTATAGTGGGTCAATAGGTGTGGTTGCCGATAGCAATACTAGTATCATGGAGTAGATTAAACATGAAAGAATGGGTTTAGTTATTGGTCTATTAAATATTTGATGTGGGTGTTTATTGTCCTTTAATTATGTGAATGACGGTGTGGCGCTAGCTATCATATAACACAAGATAGTTGACAGCTGATGCTGTTAAAACAGTAAACCGTTGGGCAATCAATTTACCCGGTCGAGGGGGTAATGGACCGGGTTATGTCGGAATCCGGCGCTTCCAGAGAGGAAGAAGGGGAGAGTAGAAGAACCGAGGTCCTCCACCTCCCCCAATGTCTCACAGGAGAGTACGCCCTGAAGAAGGCGCGCGAGGCGCTTTCCCCGCAGAACTGACTGCCGACTAAGCCCCATCGAGCTCCACCACACCGACGACACGAAACTTACGGTAACGCGGTGCGCGCCGAAAGTCTCGCCTTAGCTGGTACCCGTACTAATGGTAAGACGGGATCTCATCCCCGGGAAAATCCCGAAGGACCTCGTCTCGTGAGAGACACCGTGAGCGGCGCACAGGAGCCACCTTGCACCGCTTCACCACCGGACCAACAGTCGAGTGGTAACACGAACCCTAGCAAGAGCCGTGCTTCGCAGAATTTACCACCGGATCGGAAATGCGACCCACTGAGAAGATCCGGCTAGAACCTAAGGAACCGCACCGAAAAAGATATTTGGCAGATGCCTGAGTCTTGTCTACGACAATTTCAAGATAAATTAAATTCAAGATTAAATGTTACTGTGGGCTTATATGAAATACATTGGCCTGACGCGCCAGGGAATGCTTTACTATTAGTGCTTACTACAGAGAGCTCCCCTGTAGAAATAGTCCTTAAAAATACTGGTGGTGGAATGTCTTGGGGGCTTGGTACCACCGCTCTGCCTATTTCTGTCGCGAAGCTGTCATGCGTTACGGTTTAGCTGGTGGGGCAACCATCATGCTATACAGTTTTGTAAATACTTAGTAAACAGAACTTATAATATAGAATAGAAGAATAGAATTACATTGACTTTGTCGATCCGTCTAAGCCATTTAATCTCCGTCTTATTGTATTTATTTAAAAAAAAAAAAATTATTTTTTTTTCAATTTTCGCATTATTATTCAATCAGTCGTATCTGTAACTCTCTCAGACCTAATGCAATTCTTTTATAACTATTACAACATGTTGTTTGTGCGAGCACAATGAATTGCTTTTATTTCATTTCCATCAACTAGAAACTGTAGCTGAAAGTTCAACGCCTTTAAATCCAAAAGCTCTTTCAAACAATGCGCATTTTTATATACAGATTGGCATTCTTCCAAACGCTAAAACGATAAATAAAACACACGTATCCAGTTGTCTTGCGTTACATAAAATTTAGATGAGGGTTGAATGCACTTAGTTACTTTGGATCTGAATGTAATTAGATGAGAAGCGTCTTGAAGAGCTAACGTAATCCATTTGCACGAAATTATACATACTGATACATACATAATAATCATTTGTTTTTAAAAACATATCTGTCATTAATATTCTTATTTGTTTATGTCATTAATGTCATTAAATTGTATTGATTCTAATATGAACGTAATCTATATATACCTATCTATATATATAAAAATGAATTGCTGTTTGTTAGTCTCGCTAAAACTCGAGAACGGCTGGACCGGTTTAGCTAATTTTGGTCTTGAATTATTCGTGGAAGTCCAGGGAAGGTTTCAAAGGTGAGAAAATATAAAAAAGCTCGGAATTATATAAAAACAAACAATTTTGTTTTTCCTTAGATGTGTTCCCTTGATGTGTCTTTTATTTATCGATTGAGGCACTACGAAGTCGTCGTTCTACGAAATTCGTAAGCAACATATTTTAGCGGTCTTGTCTGCGCCCCGGGCATTGCTGATGTCAATGAGTGACGGGAACTAAATATCAGGTGGACCGGATGCTCTCTCTATCATCATCATAGTTGGTTACGCAGAGCAGTCGTGGTCATGTGGAATTCTTGCTTATTAAAGCCTTCTCAGATGTTCTCCATAGTTTGCGAACTAAGGCTTGGTGCACGCACTCGTTAAGTGGGGTTTTAGTAAGGTCTTTCATCCGATCAGTCCAGCACATGGGGCTTCGTTCACGAGATCTTTTACCATTTATCGCACCTCCCGCCATCGGAGCAGAGTTTATCCATATTATCTGGAACCGCTGCGTTCATCGACAGTGTGTTTCCAAAGATATTTTTTGCCACGTACTATCTGGCTTTGGAATGAAGTCCCCTCCACGGTGTTTTCCGAGCGCTATGGCATGTCCTTCTTCAAACGAGGCTTGCGGAGAGTACTTAATGGTAGGCAGCGGCTTGGCTCTGCCCCTGGCGTTGCTGACGTCCATGAGCGACGGTGACCACTTACCATCAGGTGGGCCGTATGCTCTCCTGCCTGAAAACGCAATAAAAAAAAAACCGTTGACCCTACCCTGAACAACAAGTTTCTCGATAAGCTCTGCTGTTTTTTGTTGTTATTAACTGACTTCCATAAGCGACGGTAACCACACACCATCAGGTGAGAGCCGTATCCCGGTCAGCTTACGGAGGCAACAAAAAAAAGTAACGATTTATCATCAGTGAGTTCACGTGTAGCATTGAAAACCCTGACTTTCGTTTTCGATCTAATTAAAAGGTTTCTTTAGCCATTGCAGTATGTTAATCAAGAAGAAAGAATTCCATTCGCGGGCGATAAAGCTTTTGTGGAACTCAGCCAAGTTCCTGTATCGATTCTTCAAGTATCTGGGGGTCAAGTCAAGTTCCTAAGCGATGGGTTTCTGTCGAAACCTTGCATGGCTCAAGTACTTGGCGGCTAATAGGATCCGAGCTTATGCACATCTGGAGAATTAGTGCACTTTAGTTTACAAAGGCATTGAGGGTATTGCTCCTCTAGATCGACGGTTTCTTTATCATTGTTTTTAGCGCAAAGAGCTTACGGCCTATCTAACGTTAGATTTACTGGTGGTAGGACCTGTTGTGAGTCCGCACGGGTAGGTACCACCACCCTGCCTATTTCTGCCGTGAAGCAATAATGCGTTTCGGCTTGAAGGGTGGGGTAGCCGTTGTAACTATACTGAGACCATAGAATCTCAAGGTGGGTGGGCATTTACGTTGTAGATGTCTATGGGCTCCAGTAACCACTTAACACCAGGTGGGCTGTGAGCTCGTCCACGCATTTAAGCAATAAAAATTAAAAAAAAAGATGTACACCGGAGCCCTTAACATCACAACGCGAATGAACTCTAAATTGTATAATGCGAAAGCTGTCCGAGCTTAAAGATCGAAACGCGTTACGACAGCTTCGCAGCAGAAATTGGTAAATAGGATGTAATATAAATCGGTAGGCAGCGGCTTG